CGCCAACACCTGAACGCGAAGTTTTCGCGGAGAAAGCCAACGTAAAGCTGGCCACGATAACCCCGTTAGGTTGATTGCCCCGGTTGACTTAATGGCCAATGTCATGACTACAGTGTTCGTAGTCACGGCATACAACACTGTTTTGGATAGATCGACCTAGTGCACTTTGGTAGTCTGCTTCGGTGTGGTATTTACCTTGTTGAAAGGTTCACAACTGAAGAGCTTCTGTGAGTTTTAACGCAGAGATGCCGCGTTATTGTGTGGCAGAGGAATGTAGTAACAGCCTGTTGCATCGCGAGCTGACGACGCGTCAATTTCCGAGCGACCGGATGCGTCTCGCACATCTGTCGTTTTCCATGTGGATTCTGACAACAAATGATTGCTTGCGCTCTGATCACTTTCGTTATGTGGATTAGGAAAATAGCTCCAAGGCGATGAAGTGTTTCGGTCTGACTGTGTGGCTGCGGCAGTGTGGGCGGGCAGTCCCTCATCGTAGTAAGTCATGGGCGCACGGCTGGTGCGGCCCTCAGATATCTCAAAGAGCCGAGTTTTAATGCGCTGGCGCCATCGAGTGGCAAAGCTGATATTTACACCAGCCTCCCCATAGCCTTGTCCGTGCTGAATGGGATAATGCCACGAATGCGCTGAATATCCCAAGACGCATTGCGCTCTCCGTGGCTGCTCTTCGAGCGCTTGCTAGAGAGGGCTGTTTAGAATGAAAAACATTGCCATCCACTTGAAATACAAATGTGCGATTTTCATTTACGTGTATTAATGATCACATTTAGCCTGCTTTTGAGCATGATAGTGATATTTCAATTTTCGTTTCAACTTCTCTTTAAGCTGGGAAATAATAGTAAATACCTTAATGAAATGAACGTGTTCAGAAGTAAACAATATACATTCCTTTTTCAGGGGTACATTTTTAATTCAGCTGTTTTCTGATATTCAGCAGATTAAAATGTTTGTCTAAAATTGCTACCTTATCTACCCCGGCATTCATAATGTTTCCTGGGAGCATATTTCTATCTCTCCCAGCGTGAGACGAGTAAGGTAATTTTTCACCTTCAAACAACCTTATACGATTGTGACACAAATTTTAGTAATGAAGTTCATACAACTAAAAAAGTGAAAATAACCAAACATGAGTTGGCAAATACGAAGCTTGCAGAACTACTTCTTCCCTTTTTTTCCCTCCCAAGAGTACTCGGCAGCTAGTTTATCAGTCAGCAGGTAGGCGAGCGTCCGTTTAGTAGCAGTGTTGGGTTTTCGTCCACCAAGTTGAATTGGTTCCTTGACCTGAAAAATTTACAGACGCCGCACAAATTGGGTGTAGCATTTCGGCAGAACACAGCCGACGTGAGTTTCTTTGTGATTTTTTTTTATTGCCACAGTAAAAGTTTGTAACGCAATGACATACAACAGAAACATTTTTTTTTAAAAAGAAAAGTGCCCAGCCTATACCAAGGCTTGGGATGGTCGTTAGTTTAAAAGTCTTTTAAGGCCTTCAGTTCCTCGAAGACAGGTAACCACTCAGGGGGAGGAATCTTGGCTTTGTAGACAGCTGTTAACTCGCACACAGTTTGCACGAAATATTTTCGCACATCAGCATGTCTTCCAGCCATACGACTTTTCCAGATGCTGTGGAGGCCAATGAGCATGACTGTATCTAAAGGAATCGTATCGTCAGTCTGAATTCTGTATTTAAGAACCTAATACCGTCCGTGGTGATGGGAAGATCTTTTTTTATGGTCCTCTGCAAGACATCCCAAAAGAGCAGGGCGTCCCAACACTCTAGAAAGACGTGCTCAATCGTTTCCGGTTTTTGGCACAGAAAGCAATGAACTCCCCTAGGAACAAAGATCCCTTTATCTTTAAGCCATGTTTTCACAGGAAGAGTATTAGTATGGAGCTTAAAGAAAAAGGTTTTAACTGTTGGCGGAACGTGCATTTTCTTGACGCAGCTAAGAACGTCACGCTCACGGCGTTCACAGAATCTGTTACGGTACAAAGGTACAGGAAAAAGAACATCGTATAAATCCCCCAATAGACGCTTCCGCGCGACTCCAGAAAGATATTCTAAAGAAAAACGCACAGACAAAAACTGAAATGCGCTAACTACTTCACTCAGGTAAGGGCTGAGATGGCACGCACTGCGTTTAAATGACGAGACGACAAACGAAGGTATTTGCTCCGCCAAACAGGTTTGTATCACAGTACGCAGAAAAGGGTCGGCATGATCCCGTAGAAACATGAATCTCGAAACCACTTGCTTAACGAAAAGGTGTGACAAGGAAAGTCCGCCTTTGGTGACACGACAAAGAAGGTTATCGCGGCTTACTCTCTCCCATCCAGACTGCCATATAAATACGGCAAAAACACGATGTAGCTTGTGAATGTTGATGCGGGAACCACTGATTACTTGAAGGACATACCAGATTTTGGCAATTAAAAACACGTTACACACCGTGGCCCGAGTAAAAATGGATAAATCACTTCCTGTCCATTTCTGTGCTTTTCCCCGGGTTTCATTGATGACCGATGACCAATACGTATTGTTTGTTTTATAATGCTGAAGAGGCACTCCAAGATAGGGGACTGGGGTGAGCATGAAGCTAATGCTTTCGAATTGATGGGGCCTCGTTGCCCATGACCCGTGCCAAAATCCAACACATTTCGCCCAATTTACAGAAGCCCCGGTTGCTTCACAGAAACTTTTAATCACACACACAGCCTCTGATATGCTCTTTTTGTCGTTACAAAATACAGCCACCTCGTCCGCATAAGCCAGCAGTTTGACTTCTTTGATGTGCAACCTAAAACCTTGTATATCTCTATTTTCAATTATCCGACGACAGAAAGGCTCTAAATATATGTTAAATAATAGAGGTGAAAGGGGACATCCCTGGCTTACAGATGACAAAACTGGGATGGGTTGGGTAAGGCGACCATTCACAATCAGCTGCGTGGTGCACCCACTATATGCCATTTGTCCACCAGCTAGAATAACTTTGCCAACCCCAACGCGGTCCAGTAAATCAAACAAAACATCATGATGTACGCGATCAAATGCCTTCTCTAAATCTATTTGTAACATGGCTACTTGGCCTTGATCCATGTCACAACACTCGAGAATACTGCGCGCACAGTGAATGTTTGTAAAAATTGTCCGCCCTTTAATCCCGCATGTTTGGTGGTCTCCTATCACGTTGTGTATCACAGCTTGAAGTCTACGAGCAAGCACTTTCATAAAAATTTTATAATCTACGTTGCTTAAAGCAATCGGCCTGTAGTTTTTGACATTCCTAAGTTTTTCGTCGTCGGAAACCTTTGGAATGAGGACTGTGTGACTATTAAGGAAAGAAGGTGGCAATGTTTTTTTGTTAGAACGCTTCCAATATTACTTTATGAAGCTTTTGTGCTAGAACGTTCTTATACTTTTTATACAAAGTAGCATTCAGCCCGTCCGGACCGGGTGATTTTCCGGACTGTAGTTCGTCTATAGCTGCTTCGATTTCGCTAAGTTCAATTGGCTGCTCAAGCCAAGCAGTCGTGTCTTCATCTAATCTGGGGATCAGATGCAAGAAGGCGTTACCAAGATGACCCCGATTCGGCTTTGCGTCACATTGAAAAAGCTGACTGTAGTACTCGACAAATGCTTGCTCTATGACTTCGTCTTTCGAACTTAACGAGCCGCGATACTCAATTTCACAGACTCTCTTCTTACTCGCGTGGTGCTTTTCTCTACAAAGCGCTCTTTTCGTCGGTTGTTCTCCGAGGAGATATTTTTCAGCACGCGCTCTGACTACCGCCCCTTTTTACTTCTCAGTTTCTATTGCGGATAAACTATTTTTGGTAGTTTTAATATCGTTTATATATATACCGGGATATTCGGATTCTAACTTAAGGAGTCTCTTTAAATCTGCACGAAGTAGGTTCTCTTCTTTGTCCCTTAAATATTTTAGAGTGTGGGATCTTTCTCGAGCTGCTAGCTTTATTTCTTGCTTTGTTACCTCCCATGCCTCAGCTGAGTTAATAAAATGCCCACTGGACATTTTCCCCAACAACGCTTCTAGCATGTTAGTAAACACTTCGTCGTCAAGTAGCTTAGAATTAAATTTCCACAAACCCCAACTGAAGCGATTAGTTTTTCTTCTAGCTTCTCCCAAAGTGAACGTCACCAGTGCGTGATCGCTGAAAATTATCGGCAGAACCTTGTACTCGTCCGTCCCAGTTAAAAGCTCGGCTGACACGTAAGCCCTGTCAAGTCTAGCGTGACTGGATGAACAAAAATGCGTATATCTGAGCGTCTCCGTCTTTTTTTGAAAAGTAGCAACGTCAAGGAGGGAGTATTCATGAACCATAGTGCTCAGAAACAACGCGCTGGAGTCGCTATGTTTTGCCTTCGTTGATCTGTCGCTTTCCTCGCAGACACAATTGAAATCCCCTAACAATACTATTTCTCGGGCACAGTTTAAAAAGTCATGTAGACACTCAAAGAATTGTTTTCCTTTCTTTGACCTTATTGGGAGAATAAACGCAAATGACCCTCCAAGGCCTATCAAAAATTACGAAATCGCATACAATAAGCCTACCGAAACTATCTGTAGTTATTACGTAATCCTTAGCATTCAGCGCCCTTCTGATGAATAATAACCCCCCCCCCCCCCCCCCCCCCCGACAAGCCGTTGTTAGCGTGACTAACACAGATATCAAACGTGGCCTGAAAGGGTTGCACTAGCCTCGCTGTGTCCTCCTCACTTTCTACTTTAGTTTCTTGGACTGCGAAGATGTCCAGATTATTGTCTTCGAGAACTCTTCGTACCTGGTACTGTTTACGACTCGTAGACATGCCACGAACGTTCAGAGTTGCAAATTTGACTGAGTCAACAAGCTGTGACATCTATGTTGCACCACAAGAAGGACACTGCAAGCGAAGGCATCCTCACCAAGCACAGGCTATGCGTATCACAGTACCGGTGCTCCCTTTCCTCCTTGGTCTAAGGGGGGCTTCGTCCTCGCCTTCTGTGGCGAACGAAGGGGTCGTCTGGAGTCGTTTTCGATGGCGGTTCAGCTTCACCTAATCTCTTGAGGGTTCCTGCCGGATCTTGATCAGTTTCCCTTGACCTTTTGACGGCTTGGGTACCAGCGTTGGTCATGGTAATGTCTGTCACCTCGTCGGCTCCTGTCTCAACCTCTTGCTCCTTTTCGGTAAGGGTTGCGACGCTCGCAGGGTGGCCACCGACGGCTCCAGCGGCTTTAGGGACCGCTGCTTGCGTGAAAATCTGTTTATCGTCACTTGGCACCAGCGCTTTAACGTTTGTCATTCCTTCCGGTGTAGGGGCGAGCACTGGCTTCGCAGTGGCCTCCTCTTCCTCCATGTCTGCTTCATCCATTAAGAGCTCAGACGTATCCTCTCCCCCTCCCGTAGGCTCTGCGACCGCCGCATAAGTCCGCACGCACTGTTCGGCCGCGTGGCCGAACCGACGGCACTCGCTACACTTGGGGACCCGGCACTCGCGCCGAATATGGCCAGTGCGATAGCACCTAAGGCAAAGCGGGGCCCTGCCTGGTGCCACCACAAGTGTCATTCCCCCGGCTATCCGCACTTGGTGCGGTAGTTTTTCCACGGTAACACCCGCCTTCAGTGTAACAAGAACCGTCCGGGTGTTGGACTCGATTGCTTCACAGCCCGGAATGCGCCACTTCTCCCTCGTTACGTCAGTTACTTTGCCGTATGACGAAAAAGTGGTACGCACCTCGTCATCAGAGACATGATGAGGCAACCAGTGAACCTTGAGGCGAACATTCTGGCCGTTGGGATCAATCACGATGCAACGCCGGTCTTTCACGAGCTCCCGGGCTTCAACCAGTTTTTTCTTGCTTTCGTTGCTTTTGAAGGTCGTCAACCACACATGGTTCATCTGGTAGGAGCCCAGTGAAACCACGTCGGCTAGCAGGCCCGCGCGAGTCAATGTGTCTCGGAAGTCTTCCACGCGGTACGGGCGTCCTTTAACGTCGGCATGTAAGAATACCGAGTTTAAAACAGTAGGTCCAGTTGGCAGCGGTGGCAGATGAACAGAGTATTCCAGCTCAGCAGAAAACGCCTTATCACCACGGCCCGGCTGGGCCGTTATCGCCGCTCCATCGGAGCTCGACATTCCGCGTCTGTACGTACAGTGCGGTGCCCAGAAGTGGAATGAGTTTCTTTGTGACTGTAAGAGCAAGTCTTTACAGGGTCTATTTTAAAAATACAAGTCAGAAATAACCTATATTTATCATTACCTTCTGCTCAACTTTTTCATCATTCAAGCTGCAACCAGAAGGTTCTAAGTTAATTTCTGCGAACTTTGACACCTTTTCTTTTTAATAGTTCCTGACAATCTAAAGGTCTATGACAATCTATGAAAAACTTCTTGAAAAAAAAAAAAGAGTTAGGGGTGAATTCCAGCGTATTTTTATCCCGTGAATCTGAATATCATGTTCGTTTTCCCCGAAGATGTAACTAAAAGCGGGAAAACGCGAAAAAAAACTCCGATCAGTGGTGACGCCATACAAGAAACTTTGGGCTGCCAAGCGCGTGTTGCTCGTGTGGGCAGTGCGTGCAATTGCAAGCTTACCAGGTATATTTTTCCACACTGACACCAGCATGACATCTCTTTCTGACCTTTTTTTTAATATAGCAAGAGTGCGCGTGCGGAGTTTTCACAGGCGCTGAAGGTGCCCGAGACCAGAGACTCTGAAAACTTCTAGTTCGACGTCATGCCCCGGGGATCTTTAATAAAATTAGGAAGGGTTCCAACCTTCAAAAGAGAGTAAAATAGTTGGTTGTTGGGCGAGTTGGTGAACGTTTGGATTCATGATTTTGCGCAAAAAAGACGGACACAAGACAGAGAAACAAACACGAGCGCAACTTACAACTGTATTGAGGAAACCTTTAAAAAGCATACAGATATATCGTCGACTTCAATGCGTCCACGCATGCGTCGTGTTACTATCACACGCTCGTCACAGATACTTATCAAGGAAGCGTTTTTCAGCATTGTACAAACTTATCGAGGTATCGCTCACACATAGGTCGCCTTTTTTTTTTTTTTTGATAAGGAAGGATTCCAACAGCTCACGTGCTTTTTGCCCCTTACTTCCACCCAAAATTGCAGTGTCAGAAAGACGTGGCTCACACTTACAGTTTCTGCAGTGTGCAGGCAAATGTGCCCCGTCATTGGTCTTTAAATTTTGAGCATGCTCCCTGAGACGGTCGTTGGCACACCTTCCCATTTGCCCCGTGTATGTCTTCCCACACGTGAGCGGGATTTCATAGACTGCTTCTGTTTTGCAGCCAACAAACGGCCTGGCATGCTTTGTGCTGCATTTTCGCTTCTGTCTGCCTTCTCCAGTAATGCGGGGGCAGAGTTGGCCGAGTTCTGTCGGAGCTGTAAACACAATCGGCACCCCATGTCTGTTCGCAACTTTCTTGAGGTTATGCGAGAGTTTGTGCACGTATGGGCCGCAGACCTCGTCAAGCTGCCACCGGCAGCTTTTTGTCTAGGGTCTTCGTTGGCTTAAAGGCCGTAAATAAAACGATTGATTGATTGATTGATTGATTGATTGATTGATTGATTGATTGATTGATGGTACCGCTTCAGGCCTCACATTCCTCAGTGTTGACTGCATCCTTTTTCCAGCAGTGTGTCCCTTCACTCTTTGCAGGATGGTTGTGGTGGACGTATAGTAGGTAAAGCGAACGTATAGTAGGTTGAGAAAGCCCCCGGCGCTGAACCGCTACACTGTGTGGAAGCGGATTCTAAATTTCCGCAAAACGTAATCGGTGCAAATTGCGATGCATGAAAAGTATACGGTTAGGGCACCTGGACTAGACTTACAGCGATCACTCTGGTTAATAAAAACAACGCTTTGGATGTCTAGTTGCAAGGAGTAACTAATTTTGATCTCTATATACAGCCCAAAGGAATGGTGAGCAAGTGGGGCAGGTGGAGCCAGTTCAGAAAACACCGCATCGCCTCTGTCCAAGAAAACTTTCGCAGTGGGTGATATTATCGTCTCTTCGAGTGCTTCCTTCACAAGAAGATTATTTTTCCTCCATGATCAAAAGCGATCGTCTGGCATTTTCCGCCATCGCTGCTATGTTTTTGTGTTTTATTTTGCCGTAACCCAATATGAAGCCAATCCATGTACAATTCAGACCCTTTTAAAAAGTAAGAGTCACCTTGTGGCAGTCCCAAAAGCTCCAATATTGCCGATAATGCAATTAATGAAAAGGGGCAAGCGAGCTGGACAAGAGCCACGAACATAATCCCTGGAGAAGGGGTACATGGGTGACAAAGGACAAACGCAAATCTCCAAACACAGCTAGGTGACCGGTCGCGCACCGGTCACCTGGCTGTGTTTGGAGATTAGCGTTTGTCCTTTGTCAGCCTTGTTCCCCTTCTCCAGGGATTATTCTTGTAAATATTGACGCTTTAATGGCGGTGATAGTAGGTCATGCTCGGCTAAATCAAGCACCCTAGATTTCGTGAATCGAAGGTGACGTAAAAAGACCAACATCTTTTCTCCTTTCTGCTCTATGCTTTCGAAGGCGCTCGCCTTTTCTGGCGTGGAGAAGCTGTGTAGTGCCGCCATTAGAGCGTCTGGTTTGACTCCGCACGGGGTGGGTAGGGCCACTCCAAAATCGAGTCGCGAATCGTTTACTCGCGATGTCACGCGGTGTTACCCACTGACGTAGGAGGCAGGTTACTCGGGTAAGATTTGGAACACAGCCTGAAACCCATGGAACGCCCGTAGGCGATGAAAACGGCGCGTCCGCGTCCGCCGTTGCCCCCGTCTATTCGTCTGCGACGATCGCAAGACGCGACCACGAAGCGGCATTCTAGCGTTCCATCATAGACGAGCCACAATCTAATAGAAGCGTCTGCGAGCATCTGTCGATGTGAGGTAAAATGCGAAAAAAAAGCAACAAAAACAAAGTAAATATGCAGTCCGTCTAGTTTTTTCCTATTCGTTGTTTTCTTGCATAGCGTCCGCGACCAAGGTGGGTGTGCGTCATGGCGAACAATGAAAACGCGACATAAAAATATTCGCTTTAGCAAGCCAGGTGCACTGCTCAAAATTTGAGGGCTAAGAGCCTTCCGAAGCGAAATGACAGAGACATACCTGGACAAAGCGGATGCAAGGCGAACACCCGATTGCTTCCAGCCAGATGGCTCGGAAAATCTTACTTGCGTAGGTTACCTCTCGAAACCATAGTCGTGGTCACGACGGTTGCACGATCCTCAGAGTAGCGGGCCGCTTTAACGGGAACCGACGCATTTATTCCGCGTCAAAACGGGCGAATAAACAAATTAAGTCAGAACAAGCAAAATACAGGATGATTCAAGGAGACGCCAGGCTCTTTAAATCGACCGCAAAATTCGGTTTCTTAACCTATCGCGCTACGACATTGTGCAGCGTTGCCCACGGATGGTGCTTTTTTTTTTTTTTTTTTTTTGTAAAATTTGTGAAGCGCGAACTTACCTGAGGAAAAAGTAAAGAAAGAAAAAGGCTTAGCTCTTATGGAAACGCAGCGACGCCACCGGTCTTCAAACAACACGGCGCCGTTTTGCACGGGAGACAAGGGATGGCGCAACGAACGCCGCCAACGAACCAGCATACGGCGCCGAGAGCCGGCTTCTTTAGTGGAGAATCTTTTCGTCTCAAAAGCGGCGCGTGTTCCGCGGGCGGCAACAGTCGCAGAAACAAAAACAGGCGCGGTAACAACAGGGAACTGCAGTTCCTTGTCAGCTAAAGATGCCGGCTCTTGGCGTCGTATGGTCGTTCGTTAGCGGCAGTTGGCGTCGCGACCGCTTGCGCCATCTCTTGTCTCCCGTGGGAAACGGTGCCGTGTTGTTTGAAGACCGGTGGCGTCGCTGCGTTTCCATAGGAGCTAAGCCTTTTTCTATCTTTCCTTTTTCCTCAGGTGAGTTCGCTCTTTGTAAATTAAAAAAAAAAAAACAAAAAAAAAACACCATCTGTGGGCAACGCTGCCCAAAGTCGTAGAGCGATGGGTTAAGAAACCGACTTTTGCGGTCGATTTAAAGAGCCTGGCGTCTCCTTGAATCACCGTGTAGTTGACGTGGGACGCTAGGCTTCCGCCAGCTTCACTTCGAAAACAAGCACCCGCACAGCGCTTCCGAAGGGGTGCACTTGAGACAGTTATTTGCTGAAAATTACGTCGCTTGAGGATATCGCCCGTTACACACCTCGGTGAACACGAAACGACATGCACTCATAAAAACGGGTGAGCTCAAGGAGCTACGCACTACGTCAGGTACGCTCCGCCGCAAACGCCGGCAGCCATGTTTGTTATCATTTGAAACCTAAGCGAAAAAAAAAATCTTGTAATATTTTTGAAAAAAAAACACGACAAGATGATTGGCAAGGATTTGTATGCTGGCGCGTTGTTTCGATGAAGGATCCATGAATTGTCTCTCCACAATTCAGGCCATGTCGTTTCTGGCTCAGCATAGCATCGCCGTGTTGGAGCATCCACCGTGCACTCACCTGACCGGGCCCCATCTGACGTTTTTCTATCCTCCGAGATGAAGTCTGGGCTGAAAAGAACTAGGTTTGATTCAGTTGATACCATGGAAGCAAAAACGACGGAGCTCATGAAGGG